AAGTTCTTCAATCATACACCATGTAAAGTAGCCTCAAAACAAAAAATGAACTCAACCTCCATAGTGGAAGTAGCGAGTCAAGGTTTGCTTTGTTGTCTAAGATCTAGCTCCACAAGCTAACATAAAAATGTAACCGAGATGTGAATTTTCTAGTATCAATGCGACCAACAAATTTTAAATCGGAATAACCTATCACCTCTAAACTATCAGTTTGTTTGTATATGAGTATGAAATCCTTTATTCCTTGAAACTCTCGTCCATCATAGTTTTGTCGTTAATAAGCGCCTCAATGAATTAAGAGAGGAAGATATATATAAACTACGCTTGACCTTGATTCGTAAGCGAAGTGAGACTCTTGAGTGTACTTGGAACATTTATAAAATTAAAAAAATAAATGATTATAGGTTTTTAAGCTAGTAATGTTAAATAATTTTTAAATATATTAAATTATTAAAAAGAAAATATTAATATGTTAAGTAAAAAGAGGTTAAATACACATTAAAAAAATGTACAACATATATTAAAATTTTAAAAATGTAGAAAATGTACATTTAAAAATTAATGATGAGAACTTGTTTTACAATGTGGTCTTTTAATATTGTCTTTTGGTCTCTCTCTTCGATGGGTACTTGTTTTGGTGATGGAATGTCTATTTATTATTATTATTATCATTATATGATGTTTGTGTAGATAAAGTTGGCAATAACAATCCATGTAAGGGGTGTGCTTATATATTGATGGTGATGTCATTGAGATGGTGACAAACATATTTAATGAAGATGGAAACACATTATATAAGGGACTTATCCTAATCGAAATTGACTCGATATATTATTAAGTTGACACATATATCCGTAGAGTGAAGGTGGTTGAAAGGTAGATGACCCAACATGTAGATGTGTGGATTGTGATGTGAATTGTTCAAAAAGTTGTTCGTCGTGTTATTGTGTTTAATGTTGTTGTGGTGCACTATATTGAAAAAATAAAATACATGTAAAATTAGTATTAATAAAAATATAATTATATATTTAATATGCTATACTTACTTCATCATGTGTATCGGGTGATTGTTCGGGAAAAATATATTGTATATTATGTTGTAAATAGCACTCGCATATATTGCTTAATTGATCGTTTCTCTAAAATTTGATCCCTTGGACTAAGCGGTTATGATGATCGTTTCATATTGCAATCTAGTTACAATGATAATTTGGTTAATATCTATCTCGTTATTCCTCTCATATCTTCATCATGCATTTGATCTAGATTCGTTAGATCTTGAGGAATGTGTTGGTGAAGGTCAAATTGTCTCATAATTTAATCAACTTAATGATATTCAATGATTGCAAAACAAATGAGTAGTGTAACAACACAACTTATAAATGAAATTTTAATATTTATTAATCGTCTCAAAGTATTTTTATAAGAAGTAGTCGCAAAATTACAATAAAAAAGTTAATAATATTTGATGGTGAATAAAAACAGTTTAATAAGTCATGCACATTACCTCTAGTAAAAGAGTTAATAATATTTGATGGTGTAATAAAAAAATTAATAAGTTTAATAAAAAATATTTGGTTGTTAAAATCAAATGTGACATGTAATATGTGTAAGTTCTTTGTGACACCACCAAATCGTTAAACTAGTTAAGACTATTAATTACATTATTTAATTACTCACATATTAATAATAATAATAATAATAAAAATAATTTTAAAATTTATTTTAAGAAAGTAATTAGCTAATATATATATATATATATATATATATATATATATTATTTTTAAAGATAACTCACTTTCTCATTTTCTAGAATATTTGGAGAGAATATGTATAGATTTAAGATTAATTAAGGATGATTTTTCCCTTATTATTTTCTTTCATTGAAACTTAACTAATAGACGAAAAAATAAACCCAATTTTTTTATTAGAAAAATGAGGATATAAATCACATTAAACTCAATTTATTAATTTGTGTTTCGTAAGTAAAAGTGCACTGATTTTTTCAATTTTTTTTATACTAATTATAACTTTAATTTCTCTTAATCTATGTCTTTTAAAGACAACTCATTTTCTAATTCCATAAAAGATTTGAAAACAACATTCCTAGATTTATAATTAGTCTTGTCCATGTGTTGTTTTTTTTCTAAGAGTAAAATAAGGGGAATTAAACCTTATTTATTCATAAAAGATATTATTTAAATCACAGTAAAATTAATCCATTGATTCATCTAGGTAAATAAAGATACATTATTTCTTCAAATTTTATTTTCTAAATTATCATTATATTCTATACATAGACTAATTATAACTTTAATTATTCATAATTTATTTTAAAGAGACTAGAGTATAAGAGATGTAAGTCTAAATACCTATAATAAAACTAACGTAAATAATAATATTTTAATATTTTTTATTTATTAGACATTATTATAAGTCATCTCAACTATTGATTCGTGTTTTGTAAATAAAGATTTATTTTTTTAATTTTTTTTATAAATTATAATAATATTATATACATCCACTAATAATACGCAAACAATACTATTTTAATTCTTTTTCTTTTTATTATACATTAGTATAAATAAGATGGAATTTATAAATTTTTTTATATCATTTAAAAATTGTGCAAAAGTAAAATTCAAATATAAATACGAGTGCAGTTGTTTTTTTCCTTAAAAAAGTAAAAAAAATGTGACGGTCCAGGCAGGCTAGGCTCACCCGACCATTTGGGGTTGTGGAGAAAGTAGCCTGCAATCCCTCCACCGTTGGGAGAGGGAGGTGGTCGCTGCTCTGTGAAACCAGCCTCACGCTGTGCCCTCCACTCTAAGAGACAAGAGAGCAAAGTCTTCACTAAGGTCTCCAGACTCAACTCTCAACTTGGAGTGGACAAGCTAACATGTTCCAACCACAAACCCAGCCTAGGAAGGCTCAGTGCTGTTCCATCAAATTAGGGCTCCCACTTGGGTCACAAGCTGAAGTGACTCAGCTCAGCGATCTACCACCACTGTGAGTATGGTTATAAACACATTGTTGTTTTTTCTCTTTTGAATATGGGACACAAGTAAGACCAGGTTTGCATTTTAGCACTAGCAATTTCAGAGAGATCGTGCCTTTCTCTACTTTTGCGTGGATGAAATATAGAAAAAATTGGATTAATTAGGAGAAAAGAAAATGGACTTTAATTTCTACTTTATGCTCTGGTATGAAGTGGATAGATGCTTGTATTTCTACATATGTATGCAAAAACACAGAGGAGTGAGCCTGTTAACTCTGTGTTGGACAGTTTTGCTTGAATTAAAAATATAATACATGTGATAAATATTTTTTTATTGTCATTTCAGAATATGATGAATTTTTCTGTGCTTAAGTTAATACCTTTTCAAAGTAAGTTAGATGCTTGTATTTCTACATGTGGATGCAAAAACACAGAGAAGTGAGCCTATTGCAAAAAGTCGAACATATTACGATTGAGAGAATGCAATTGTTTGGACTTCCTGAAAATGAAATGATATCAGGGCTTAAACTTTTTTATTTGTGCATGTGAAGAAATCGCTTAATCATTTGCTACAAATGATTCGTGTTCAGTGATGATCATATACTTCTTATGAATTAGCTAGTTTTTGGTATTGTCAATCCGTAGTTGAATTTGTAAATTGAATCTTATCCGAAGGTTTACTATATTGATTGATGTAATAAGGTATCGAACACTTTAGAATCAAATTTATCATTTCCCAACAATTGCAAGAAAAACTTTATAATAAATAACAAGCTAAACCTCTAAGAGCAAAGTTAAAAGAACAAACAAAACAAATACAACACTACACTACAGAAAAATATTGTTTCATTTTATTACAAAATATTGAACTGATTTAGATGGGATGCACCAGGCCCTAACAGTGGTCCAAAGCAAAGGCGACGCTTGAAAGCCCCAATCACAGGCTATTATGATGAACTCTTTCCCCTAAAATATTAATTTAATATTATGCCAACCAATTGGCCATTAAATTGATAAGAATATATACTAAAGTCGAGGAATGTATGTTTTGAATAATACAAGTGTTTAGTTTGGAACAGTACTTTTACTTCATTCACAATCTGATCCATTTTTCTACTGTTTTTTATTATAACTGTTTCGGAAAAGTACTTTTACTTCATCCATTGTACTGTTTTTTATTATATCTGTTTTGGAAGAGTACTTCTATTTCATCCACAATCTGATCCATTTTTGTGCTGTTTTTTTGTGTTTTAGTACTTCATCCGCAATCTGATCCATTTTTGTACTGTTTTTTGTGTTTTAGCTTTAGTACATATGCAGTTTAGATTTCTTTTGACAGAAATAGAAAATCATGCAATGGAATGAATGCAAGTTGTTTGAACTTCTTTGGGAAACTGGTGTACCCCAGATAAATTTGGTAACACAGTCTTACAAACTTAAATAATTTTTATGTTAATAAATAGTGTAAGCAAATAACGATGAATCCACTTATAAATATAAACCTTTCTTATTGAATTAAATAAAATAATGTAAGCAAATAAGAATAAATCTACATATTTAAACTTTGTTAGTGGGATGCACCAAGCTCTTGTTGAAGTGCAATACAAGGGTTACAAAACTTATTCTCTCTGCAGCTACTCATCAATGGGGATAAAAAAACATATAAACCATTTCCATTCGAACTGTTTTGTGAGTCAGCTAAGTACTTAGCTGCTAATCTTGTTTTTCATGAAATATGCAAGCACGCTAAAATTTATTTTCACATTGTGAGATAAAGTTTTATCAGGCTCTCTTTATTTGATGCCTATCACCTTCAAGGAACAGTACAACTTTCATTTCATCCACAATTGGATCCATTTTGGTATTATAACTTCCATAGTCTTTTTGTTTTTAAGCTTTGGTAATATATTTTTTCTTTTGACAAAAACAGAAAATCATGCAATGGAATGAATGCAAGTTGTTTGACATCTAACATGATACCAAATATTATGTAGACTAATAAATGGAAGGTTGGAGTGGAGTTCTGAGAGTCCCACTTCACCCTGACAGCAGGACATTCCATAGGGTTGGTGCATCACTCTACCTTTCTCCAGAATCCAAAACAATGTAAGTTAACTCCTTAAACTGGAACTACATTTCTTATAGAGACAACAATTGAGTTGCTTATTATATATCAGTCTTATTCATGATTTAACTTCATTATGTTTTTACAACAGTAGAAAATCATGCAATATAATGAATGCAACTTATTTGAGTTTCCTTTAGCAATGGACTTACTGATGATGGAAGCCTATTATGGTATAATAATGCTTTTTATGTGTGCATGAGTAGAAGTCAGTTAATCATTTTTTTTATTCATTGAATATAATAAAAGGTAAACATTTTTTTCTGGCATCTTTACCTGAAATTTTGTGAACTGACAGATTTATGTATGAAGTTTTACACTATTCTGGAAAATGTAATATAGAACATTTTAACGTGGTTGCAAGAACAAATTCAGAATTCCCTGTCTCATTGATATTTTCGAGCATGTATATGATTTACTTTCTGTGGTGACAGATTTGAAGGGACTAGTAACCCCGTGATTGAAAGGCTATCAAATTTACAGAAACTGTCTGAAATTGTTGTGTCCAAATTTGGTTCTTCCATCAATACTAGGGTTATTAAGGCTTCCATTTTTATTTTGCTGTCTCTAAGGACTTCATACTGTCCTTGAATCAATGCGGAGAGCCAAAGTCATAACATCTTATTGGTTTTCCCACATCTGCATCAACGGTGTCGCTCTTATCTAATTGCCTTGAAGAAATATGATTTTTTTCTTATCTTAAATGCCAGGCAGGCATGCCAACTGCTTGCAACTAAAATTTCCATCTTGACCGTAGTAGTTATTCTCATCATTTAACCTTACTACCATATGAGGCCAACCAAAATGTTTAGCAAGTGTATTACATATCCTAATCAAGTTTCCTATATAAAAAGCATGACACCAATATGCTACATGACTGGAGATATCACTTATGTGTTGGTAATAGTTAAACTAGAAACAGTCACTGTTTATGTCTTGCACTGAATGCTCTCCATATTTTAAATTTCCTGTAATGCAGGCAAAAAAATTCATTTTATGAACACAAGTGGATTCAAAGTCTGGCTGCACTTCTTCATGTTCTTTCTGTGAGCCCAAGACATTCATCCTTGTATTTAGCAAAGGTGGAATTGTCTTAACCAGATAGTTACCGAACTTGGATTCTCAGATATTGGTTCTAATGCCGATTTACCTGATGTGGGATTTGATAATTTTTATGACGCACCTAAAATGACGCAAGACTTACTGAACAGCATCAGCGATATTCATTGTGTGATGATTTTGGTCTGAACACTGTTGGGGCCTACCTAACTAACAATGATGTGTTTGAGAGACTCATGCAAGAAGCTCCTCAACTTGTTTTATCCTTCATGGAACACCAAGACAATGGAGTGACAAGCGACGTGTATAAGAAATGAAGAGGACAAAATGCTGCATCTGTTTAAATCTGAAGTCGCTAAGAGTGTCACAAAAATTAAAGCACTCTCGAGGTATTATTTATTTTGCCGATAAGCCTCCAGGTATGCATATGCACCTTGAAACAATAGAAAGTTCAGACATAAGTTAGTATTCTACATTTGGTGAAAAATTCTTAATTATCATGATTAATGTAATTAAACTGCATTGTTGTGCTTTAATGTTCCAAATAACAAATGTAGTTTAGTTACATTATCCTGATAATTGTGACATTTTTCGGTGGACTAGAAGCACTAACTTGCGTCTGGAGAAATCTATGGATTTCATAAAGCCGTGAAGCTTTTGATATTAAGAATAGTATGAGGGAAGTACAGATGAAGATTATAATTTTTAAAAATTGGATCGAGATAGAATTCAAGTTGATTTGAAGAGGTTTTACATGTGCAAAAGAATAGTTATCTGAAGGAGCAAAAAATTCAAGATGAATTGATTGTGAAGATATGTTTAGATGAATTTCAGAATGAGAGTAGAGTTTTCAACAGTTATGCAGATGAATCGGTAGTTCTTTTCAGATTTCAGTTTGAGTCACTTTTGTATCTGAATTCCTTTGTGATTTAGACTACTTCCCCTTCTATCCTATAAATACCTTGACTAAGTATTCATGACTTCAATCCTAGCTGTCCGATGGGCACATTCTTCCGAATATAAATTAAATTTCAGTATAAGATAAGTGCAAAAACCAATAGATAAAAGTTATGCTGCACACAAACAATACGATATTTCAATTCTTTTTTATTTATTAGATATTAGTATAAATAAAATATAAATTACTATGTCATTTAAAAATTTAAACAATAACATACTTTTTACTTTTCAAACATTGTCCAAAGTAAAATACAAATATATATATATATATATATATATATATATATATATATATATATATATCAGTGCAGAAGATTGATGTCTAGATATAAGATATGAAAGTTCAAAAACCAATGATAGAATTATGAAACACGTAACCAAAAATATTTCAATTCTTTTTTATTTATTAGATATTTAAATAAATAAAATGGAAATTATAAATTCCTATATCATTTAAATATTGAATCAAGAATATACTTTTCACTTTTCAAATACTATCAAAAGTAAAATTCGAATATAAATCAGTACATTTGGTTTTTTACTTTAAAAAAAGTGACGGTCCAGGCAGGCTAGGCTCACCCTACCATTTGGGGTTGTGGAGGAAGTAGCCTGCCGTTCCAATCAAGCTAACGTGTTCCAATCACAAACCCAGCCTAGGAAGGCACAGTGCTGTTCCATCAAATTAGGGCTCCCACTTGGGTCACAAGCTGAAGTGACTCAACTCAGCAATCCACCACCATTGTGAGTATAGTTATAAATACACTGTTGTTTTTTTCTCTTTTGAATATGGGACACAAGTAAGAGAAGGTTTGCATTTTAGCACTAACAATTTCAAAGAGCTCGTGCCTTTCTCTACTTTTGCGTGGATGAAATATAGAAAAAATTGGATTAATTAGGAGAAAAGAAAATGGACCTTAATTTCTACTTTATGCTCTGGTATGAAGTGAGCCCTATTAAACTGTGTTTGACAGTTTTGCTTGACTTCAAATATAATACATGTGATTTTTCTCTGCAGCTTTTTATTATTTACAAAATATCTTTTTATTTCCATTTCAGAATATGATGAATTTTTCAGTGCGTAAGTTAATCCCTAGAAGTAAGGCTTTTACTTCACATAATCCAATAGTGTACCAGTTCTCTTACAACAACTATCACAATATTTTAACTTGTGTTCTAGCTATGCTTTATGTGTGTAGCCTAACCATTTTTCTTTTACAAAAGTATAACATCTTACAATTGAATGAATGTAAGTTGTTCGGACTTCCTGAAAATGAAATGATATCATGGCTCAAACTTTTTTATTTGTGCATGCGAAAGAAATTGGTTAATCATTTGGTAAACATTGCAAGTATTCAGTAGTGAACTTTATTTCTCTTGGATTGGCTAGTTTTGGGTATTACCAAACTGTAGTTGAATTTGTGCATTGAGACTTGTCGGCAGGTTTAGTATATTGATTGATATAAAAAGTTACCAAACACTTTAGAATCAGAATGGAATGCAATACTGAATAATAAGTATAAAAGACAGCAATGAATGTCAAAAACATTAGTGAGAATTATCATTTCACAACTGGTGTAAGATACAACTTTCATAAGTTAAGAAACCACAAGAAGAATACAACACCACGATACAGAACACTACATTTTCATTTTATTAATTACTATCAGAGCTTCAGATGAGACTTTATCGTTGTTTCAGATGCTCCAAGAATGCGGAGTTACAGCTCCTCTCCTGAAATCATAACTTAGAGAACTTAAGTCAATATGTTTTGAATTTACTTCTAGTCACGGCATTACCAGCTACATAACCGGGTTCTACATTCATGGATCATATTCATCCTCTACAAAAAGATTCTGGACAGACGTTACATGTTACAAAACATAGAAGGTTTACTTAGAAGGATGATTTGTCTAACCAATACTAGGCCAGATATATCTTATGCTGTTGGTAAGCTAAGTCATCCTCTTGATTACTCTTATTATCAAACTTCTCTCATGCTATTGAAGTACGCTAGAATTTCACTACGAAAAGGACTTTTCTTTCTTGCTGTGTCAGATTCAGTTTGGAGCTCCTGTGTTGACTCTAAAATATTTACTTCCAGTTTCTGTTTTCATATGAGAACATAATATCCTAGAAAAAACATGAAACAATCTACGGTATCTATCTAGATCATCAGAGACTGTAAATCCTGTTTGTTTATGAATGAAACAAATACATTAATATTGATTGAGACAGTGAGAGATAAAGTTCAATAAGGTTCTCTTCATTGGATAGCTATCATTTCCAAGGAATTTTACTTCATCCACAGTTGGATCCGTTTTGGTACTATAACTATCATTAACTATCATAGTCTTTAGCGACATTGTGCTATAGGAAGCAAGATTTGGTAAATAGTAGTAACGAATTGGTAGGATGAACTAATTAGTAATAGAAAAGATGAAATTAAACTTTTTTAATGTTAATTAACATTGTGCTATAGGAAGCAAGGTAAATAGTAGTAATGAATTGGTAGGATGAATTATTAATTAGTAATAGAAAAGATGATTGAAAGAGGTGTATATGAAGTTATAAATTATAATGATTGAAAGAGGTGTATATGAAGTTATAAATTATAATGATTGAAAGAGGTGTATAATGAAGTTATAAATTATAATGATTGAAAGAGGTGTATATGAAGTTATAAATTATAATGATTGAAAGAGGTGTATAATGAAGTTATAAATTATAATGATTGAAAGAGGTGTATATGAAGTTATAAATTTAAAGATAGCAAATTTAAGATTAAGAATGAGTGCTCTTGGCCATAAGTAATTAAAATGTTTTGATAAAATGAATTAGTAACGTGAAAAATGAATAATAATAATAATTAAACTGATTTGATAGGTTGCACCAATCTCTTGTAATAGTGCAACACAAGAGTGATGCTGAAATCCCAATAGCAAGCCATTGTGATGGATTCCCTCCCTAAAAAATTAATTTAATATCGTGTGAACCAATGGCCCACATATCAGATATTAAACTGATAAGAACAGATACTACACTTGATCTTAGCCAAAAGGCCGAGAAAGGTATACTTAAAAGATGTAAGTGTTGAGTTTTTATGTTCTGAATTCAATTTGCTTGTCAGAGTCCTGACAAATGTGGGACTTACTTAGGTGCATAAGATGTTGACAGGTGGGTTCAAATACTTTCTTTATATTCTTATATGGAATAATAGTTTACTCGAATATGTGTTGTTTCTTTTCATAAACTTCCAAGTTTAGTTTTGAATACCTCAAAATTGGTCAAAGAGAGCCTTTGAAACAAATCAGTTGCTGAACCATGACAAGCTTGAAACTTTGTTTAGTATCTTCTAAAAAAATTATGCTTGTTATTTTGTATCAGTGCAGCTACTTTTGTCTGGATTGTTGTTGAATAAGAAATGAAAATGAGAATAGTACAGTTTTATCATATTTCACATGTATATGATGAGAAAGAACTGCGTAAACATGTTTAAGCCTCATGCATGAGAACAAGCACACCGCATCGAATGACTGACTTTCAATCATACAAACCAGCCTCATGTGACCAGTGATGAAGCGTTTGTTAATATACAAGACATAGAATCTGATGAAGCGTTTAATTATTGTACTGAATTGACAGTACTATCAACTTCATTGATGGGAGAGAGTTTTGTTGAGTTTTTGATACTTTGTGTTTTAAAGTTCAGAGAAAAAATGGTGGATTTTGTGAAAATCTAGTAGTTAGTCATGGTAATGCATGTATATTCATTATCTTTTAAAAAAGTGTTATTTTGGTTAATGTTTTTGTGATGAATAAAATTGTAATGACTATTCTATTTCAGTAAGCAAGATTTTCTTGGTCTTGAAATTGAAAACTAACATGCAGACATGAAAGATTTTGGTGATATCATGATGAAAGACAGGAAAATGGACGAGAAAGCTTTCCCCGTTGAAGTGAAGAAGAAATTCGGGTACCGTTGGTATCTGAACAAGATCTACAACTATCAAATTCAACAATTATGCAGGGAGATCATGTATATTGTGAGTAATACAGTCAAACTTGATTTCTGTAATTTGTAATTATTATGGGAAAATTATGAAAAGAGAGTTCTTAAAACTATGAAAAGAGAGTTCTTATTGTCAGAATATTTAATAACAAAGAAATACAATGTTGTATATAGTTCTAACTCATTCCTAACCTAATAACTTTTTTATTATTTTAGGGTTGTTACCTAATATGAATAATAAAAAAAAATGTAGATCATATAAACATACTCACGTTAAAAAGAAAAAATAAATTTAGTCTATACGACAATGTTTTTTTCTCTTGTATGTTTTATCCTTTCCCTCCCATGTAACATCTTTTCTTCTTTCATGTTTGTCACTGTTTTTTCCATTATTATTGTCTAGTTCTACATCTCATTCTGTCTACATTTTTTATTTGTGGAGGGAAATCACTTTTCTCCTCTTTCCCATCATTTATTTAGCTCATACTCTCTAATTATATTTTTTTCCTTTTTTTTCTTTTTTTTTTCTTTCTTTTCTTCTGGTTTTGTTTCCTTTTCTTCTTTTTCATTTTTTTATGTTTCCATTTTAAATAAATAAAAAGTTATATTTTTACAAATTATTTTTCCTTTTTTTCTCTCTAGTTTTATTTTTTTAAAAATTTATGTTTTGGTTATCCATTTCATTTTTCTCCTTAATGAAGCGATAGAAAAAGAAAATTCTTAAAGTCAAATATCATCTAAATAAAAAAAAAGATAATATTTCCTACAGTTATAGGATTCTTAAAAATATTAGAGAAAAATTATAAATTTATTTAAAGAAAGAAAGAAAAAAAAATATATATATATATATATTATTTCTTTTAAAATGCAGTTTATCTTCTCATTCATTAGAAGATTTTAAGATAATATGGATAAAATTGGGATTATCAAGGGTAGTCTTAGTCCGTGTATAGGTTGTTTATCTATATTATCTTAAAATCTTCTAATGAAAGAGAAGATAAACTATCTTTAAAAATATATATATATATATATATATATATATATATATATATATATATATAATTTGTTTTGAAAGACAGTTTATCTTTTCATTAGAAGATTTTAAGATAATATGGATAAAATTCGGATTAATCAAGGGTAGTCTTAGTTCATGTATATGTTGTTTATGTTTCGTTGTAACTTAATTAACTATGAAATAAAGAAAAATTAAACTTAATTTCGTCTTAAAGATGAAGATAGAAATCACGTTAAAGTCAATCCATTGGTTTGTGTTTAGTAAATAAAAGTGTCTGTTTTTTTAATTATTATTTTTTAATACAACGTAGTTGCATTGTGCGCACTAATTAATTATAATTTCAATTGCTCATAAATTATGTTGCAGTTAAAAGGATCCAATGACTTTTTTTTTGAAATTGGTGTAATTTGTTTAAGTTATTTTTGAAATGGATGAATTTTTAAAAAATTCTAGATATGGGTAAGTTGTATTTTGAGATATAACTTCATAAGAAAAAAGTTGTGGTATGTAACATTCAGTATTTCTCAAAAATATTCCATTAATATAATAAAATATTCTGTCATTAACTTTAATAAAATGGTATTATGAGTTATTTTAAGACTTGATAATTTTGAAGGACATTAATAAATGATATATATATATATATATATATATATATATATATATATATATCATGAAATTGTAATAGAGTGAAATAGATAAATTTAGAATTGAGTTTAAAATGAAGTAATAATAATAATAAGAATAATATCATTAAACAAAATTAGTAATATAATTTTCCATTGATGAAATGATTTAATTGACAATTACAATTTTAAGTAAGGGCAATTTAAGAAAGGAAGTCAAATAGTATAATTTAATAAAAGAGAAAAACTCATTTCTTTCTCACTTACGGAAGCTAATTTGGGAGCACCGGAGGAAGAAGAAAAAGCTTGGTTTTGCTTGCCCACACCATCTTGGTTCATCCTTTTTGCAATTAAGAGTAAGATCCATGAAATTAAAGCATTGAATTTCAATATTATCTTCTAAAATCTTCTTAATCTCAAGTATATATATGGTTATTTTGATGTTTATAAGAGACAAACTCTTTCTTGAACTAAGGATCTCTATTTTCTTGTTTGAAAGCTTCATTTGAGGTAAGGAGAGTGTTCTTGCCATCAACCCTAAGCTAAACCACCATTTATCTCACTTCTACATGAATTGAAACCAAACTAGAATATTTTATAAAAATTTTGTATGGTTGTTCTAGTGTATTTGGATACTTTACAATGCTCCTTTCATATTTTAGAGTTTAGAAATAGATTTTTTGGATGTCAAAACCTAGCGTTAGCCACAAAAATTACTTAAATTGGATTTTTCTAGAGGAAGATGATGAAAAAAATTGTGTTGAGAAGTCTTGCTGAAAATTCTGCATGTGAACAGAATCTTTGAGAAATTATATAAAAATATTTACTTAGTACATAATTTTGAAATTTTTGGTTATATGTTCCTTCGTATTCGTGTGTGATTTATTTCAAAATTTTCTCGACAAGTAATTTTTCCATGAAAAATATTGGAAGTGAATAGGTTTTGAGTTGGGTGACACAAAGTTGTTATGTCTGCCTAGAAACTTTGAAAAATCATATAAAATCAAAATTGAAGTATTTTGAGATGAAATTTTTACCATAGTTGTGATTGTAGGAATATGTTAAGTATATTTATTTTCATAATT